GCAGCGACATGCTGCGGACGCGGACCAAATTTTCCCTTCTCAACATGGGCTGGCTGCCACGCAGTCTTCTCGTGTGCAGCAGCCCAGTTGGTCTTGATGATCTCTCGGATGGTTCGAAATGCCGGAAATTGAGCTTTTTGATGCTGGCGACTTCGTGTCGCTGTAGCAGATCCTGGGCCTCCTTGCGGCGTGCCTAGGTATCTGCGTCTGCTTCGGATTGAAGCCGCTGCTTTTAAGCTGCTGTCTCTGGTTCAGCCTGTAGGCGCGCAGCCTCGGCTGCCGCCTGATGCTGTTCCTCGGCCTTGATCAATACGAGCTGAGCTTGGAACCGCTGTCGGTACTCGGTAATGGACTCATGGGCCTGGCATGCCCAAAACTGAGACCGTCATGGTGGCGGGGAACTGCTGACGTGGCACTGTACCAAACCGGGAATGCAGGCAAGGGCTGGGTGGGACGGAAAGCGCAGGTAGGTAACCTACCAAACTATACTTTTCTCCCGGTCCTAATCAACATAATAAAATAAAAGAAGAGGATCACCCCCCCCCCCCCCTCCGCCCCTTTTTTTTTTCTTGTATATTTGTCAATCTGCTATGAGTGAGGCAGTTCAGAGGAGTACTATGAGCGAGATCTAGGCAAGGTTCCACAAAGTTTCGGCTTTACAAAAAATGCATCTTGAAAAATAAATTGTGCGAAATAGACTAGATATGCGATTTTCAGAAAAGAACTAAATCCAGTTTTTGAGAATATGACAACCTCCTAATATGCCGAAAAACGAAATGCTGATAGGCTTCACAAGATTTCGGTTTTCAAAAAAAAATTGCGAGACAGAATGGAGATTCGATTTTTAGAAAAGAATAAATCTGGTTTCCAAGAATATGACCACTTCTATCGTTATCCTAATATGCCTAGAAAATGAAATGCTAACATCATAAATTTTTGGCTATTTAAAACGAATGCTAATATCAGAAAATTTTCAGATAAATCGAAATGCTACAATCAGAAATTTTCAGATATTTGTTGCGAGAAAGAAAAAAAAATTGCAAAGATTTGACGAAGTCCTACTTGATTTTGCTAGTAATCAATCAATCAATCAATCAATCAATCAATCAATCAATCCTTCAACAATCGGTAGATCAAGCAAGCTAGCTACTTGATTTGGCGGATCCTTTGATTGAGAGGTCCGCTCCAATACCAAACTGTCGCATACCGTAATGGTACAAACCAGAATAAGAACCGATCTCTCTCACATAGTACAAGATAGCACAGCGGAAGGCTTAAATACCAATGATCCGAACAATCAATGTTGCCATGCAGACTAGACATACATCATCATCATTCCATGGTGTGAAGGGGCCTGGCACTCACACAGGAAGAATGTGCCAGTCCCCAACCATACACAAACGAAGAAGAGGGGAAGATGGGAATGTCGTCAACACCAAGTCTTCGGTACAGGTCCCAAATAATCCCTCGTCAAATGTCTGAATCCCAATGTTGAGTCTGGACCCAAATGTC